GCGCTTATTCTACTGAGGCATCTCCCCGGCCCCATCAATCTCTAGTACTGCACAAAGAGTACTTTTCAAGGATGATAGAAGTGGGGCTTTGAGTTTGTGGGCTCTCTCAGGAGCTCCCTGTGTATTTATGGCTTCCTTTCCCTGGCAGAGATCACTTAGAAGTGGCCATTCTCTCACAGTGTAGCAGTCAGAGACGGGTACCCACTGCATCTGCCTCCCTTGGGGTCTGGGAGCGGCCATCAAGAAAGCGGGCATCTAGTGTCTCCCCTCCTGTGATTGCTTTTTCCCCGCTTATGAGTGAAATATAAGGAAACCAAACAGTCATAAGCAGAATAAAACTGAACTATTTCTCTTCCCCTATGAATGGCAGGATATGGAGGGTAGGAAGCAGGGATTTCTAAGAACTAAATCAACACACAAAGTCACAAAGAAAGCTGAATGGTTTTGACTATGTAAATATGAGAAGTCTTTGTACATTAGGTGCCATAAAAAAACCAAAAGGCAAATAACAGACAAGGAAAAGTGGCAAAGGGCTGTTAATCATATAAGATGAAGAATTTTTATAAAATAATAAGAAAAAGATGAGGAACCAGTATAGCAATGAGCAAAGCCCTGGAACAGACAAATCACCAATGAAGAAATAGAAATGATTATTACATTTTATTGTTAATAAAGAGTGAAAATTAAATAGTTTTTCTCCTATCGAATTGGCCAAAATTGAAAAAACAAAAAATATATATTTTGCTGTCAAGGGTGAGTTAAAAATCACTATTTTTAAAAAATTGTAGGTATATTTCATTCTTTTTGGCTTCAGTGGGGTTTTGTATATTCACGAGGTTGCATGCTGTCACTAATTCCAGGATGTTTTCATCAGCATCCCACACAAATATCCCGGGCCTGTCAGTGGTAATTCCCCATTTTTCCTGTCCCTTCACTTCTGGCCCAGTCAAGAATCTGCTTTTGTCCCCACAGCTTTGCCCGCTCCGAATGGTTCATGTAAGGGAATCATCTTTGCATCTGTCTTCTTTTGCTGCGCACAGTGTTTCCAAGTCAAGCCATGTTGCAACATATATCAGTATCTCATAACTTTTTGTGTACAAATAATATTCTGTTCTTCAGCTGATGGCCATTTGGGTTGCTTCTACCTTGGGGCTGTTAATGAATAAGCTTCATGGACATCTATTTACAATTGTGTGTGTGTGTGTGTGTGTGTGTGTGTGTGTGTGTGTGTGTCTACAGATGTTTAAGTTTTCTTGAGTATATATTTATGCATGGAATTACTGGGTTATGTGGGAACAGTATGTTCGGTGTCTTGAGGAACTGCACACTGTTCTCTGAGGTGGTTACGCCATTTATATTCCCACCAGAACTGTAGGAGGGTTCCAATTTTTCTAAATTCCTGCCAACACTTGTCTCCATTTTTGATTATAGATTATGATAGCCAATGGGAGCTGATCTCCTTATGGTTTTTAACTTGCATCTTCCTAATGACTGTTGAACAAAATCATTTCATGTGACTTTGGCCACTTGTATATCTTCTGTGAAACCTATCTATTCAAGTCCTTTATCCATTTTTAATAGGGTTTCCATTTAATTATTGAATTTTAGATATCCTTTATTATGGTAACTTATCAGATAGATATATGGGTTTAAAATCTTATTCTGTATGTTTTCTTTTTCTTTTTCTTTTTTGAGACAGAATCTTGCTTTGTAATGCAGGCTGGCCTTAACCTCACTGTATAAACCAGGCTGGCCTCAACTTCATGGTGATCCTCCTACCTCAGCCTAATCAGTGCTAGGATTACAGGATTTTGGTACTTCTTGTTACTGTCTTGATAATTTGATTCTCAAAAATTTTAAAATTAATTGACTATTTAGACGTAGTAAAAATTGAACCAAGGGCTCTGTACCACTGAATTACAGCCTCACTCCTTTTTATGTTTTATTTTGAGACAGTGTCTTCCTAAGTAACTAAGTAGGCCGGGCAAGACTTGCAGTTTTCCTCTCTCAGCCTTTCTTAGTGCTGGGATTACAGGCCTGTGCCACCATGACTACCCAAAAAAGTTTGGGTATTTATCTATGTTTTCTTTTGCTGATTGCTTTTTTGATGTCATATCTAAAAATATATTGTTAAATCCAGTGTTGTGAAGGCTTATCCCTATATTTTCTTCTAAGATTTTTATGTTTTGGATGTTATATTTAGATCATTGAGCCATACTTTTTCATCTGTTTGTTTGTTTTGTTTTTTGGTGGTATCAGGGATCGAACTCAGGGACTTATGCTTGCCAGGCAAGCTCTTATTCCACTGAGCTGTCTCCCTAGCTCAACTTTTTCATCTTGAGGAATTTCATATGTCTAGTTTTCTGAGTGTTTTTATCATGAAAGGGTGTTTGATTTTGTTAAATGCCTTTTCAGAAATAATTGTGATAATAGTGTATTTTTCCCCTGTTGTTTTGTTCATATGATATATTGGCATTAACTTTCTACTTCTGAGCTATATTTGCATTCCTGAGAATAACCCCACTTGGTGTCATGATATATGATCCTTTTAATGTGTTGTTAAATCAAGCTTGCTCATATTTTACTGTGGATTTTTTTTTTTTTTCCATCTTCCAGCTACTCAGTTATACCACTCAAGACCACACTATTGGCTGCTCCTCCTTTGGATCTTTGCTATTGGCTACTCCTTTCTTGCCAACATCTTCCTAGTTTCTGAGGCTGTACATCTCCCTGGTTTTTCCCTCTACACATTCCTCCATCTCCATTAGAGATTCTTCCTCTGTTCACTCTACAAGTATTATTTCTTAAGGATCCTTTGGAAGCCCTGGTGATCCCATCTCAAACTCTGAGGACCCTTTACATGTTGGCAGCTCCCAAATCAATGTAAAGTTCACTAAAAAAGGTCACCCCTCTGCTCTGTATAGGGTGCCACTCCCTGAATTGCCCCTCTTCAGTGTCCTATGGGTAGATTAATACCCAAAAAGAGCCAGAGGTTTTCTTTGTTTGGGCCTCTGTTTACCCCACCCCCTTTTAGAAAGAGAGTCTGAACTGTCTTGAACTCATTAGTATGTAGCCTCCAGTTTACTGTGATCCTTCTGCCTCTGCCTCCCAAGTGCTGAGATTACAGTTGCAACACCATCTCTGCACCTTTTGAGGACTGGCTCATCTAGAGATATTTCAATTTTTAGCTCAGATTCCAGTCATGGATTCCAGGGCTTAGTTTCCAGCTCTGTTCTTGAAGTCCTTAGCTTCTCCCTTGTGTGTCTCTTGCCTCATCTTAAAGTGGAAATGCTAATACTTGGGAATGGGCATTAATGCCAGTGTATGTATTGACATATACTAAATTATAAATACACTGCAGCTTTGATGGTAGTACTGGTCAGACCTGAGGGAACACTGTACAAGGAGGTGGAAAATAATAACACTAAAATAATAATACTAAGTTGCCCATTGATGCCATGGCTGCAGAACTGTGCTTATGGGCAAGTACAAGAATAGCAGATGCCAGTGAATGCCGCAGCCCTGCTCTCATGCCCCCACTGGGTCCAGTCCAGGACTTAGTCCTATAACAAAATATTTTAATTGTTTTAATAATTGGTTGGTGATTCAAATCAGATGTTAGTTTGCTATATTATAATTCTCTCTCTCTCTCTCTCTCTCTCTCTCTCTCTCTCTCTCTCTCTCTCTTCCTTTTGTGAGACAGGGTCCTGCTATACAATTCAGACTGGCCTTGTGCTCACTTTTGTAGCTCCCAGGGTTGGCCACGAGCTCGCAGGCGTCCTGTCTCGACCTGTTGGGTGCTCTTTCTGCACATCGCTTGTCTTTAAGATGATCGATCATCCACTGATATTTACTTATATAACTCTGTGTGTGTGTGTGTGTGTGTGTGTGTGTGTGTGTTTAATCCTTCAAACCTTGGCCTTACTATTCATGAAGGAAAATGCAAAATCAGATTAGAACTGGTTAAAAGGGAAAACTCAATGTTTAAGTGCTTACCAGTGCCCTGGAATGATTGGTTTGTCTTAAATGTTCATGACATCCATCAGTGAAATATACGTGATTTTCCTATTTAAAAACAGTAGGTTTAGTCATCAGTTAAGGTTATCATAACTGAAAAATTTTCATGCATCGAAATAAAAAATGTACTGTATTTAGGGCTCCCATATTTAAGCCTTAAAGACAAGGGCCTGTTTCATGTGACTTACTAGCTCAATTCACTCTGAAATAACTTAAAAGTCATTTGACTTTTGCGTTCACATGATTTTTCCCCCCTCTGGTAGTGCTTTCAAACACGGAAAGGATCCTTTAAAGGAAGCTACCCATGAGTCCATCAAGTTCTAGTAATTTCATTCATTCATTCATTCATTCATTCATTCATTCATTCATTCATTCATTCATTCATTCA